CTTCGCACACCACCTCCTTCCCCCCCACAAAAAAACCCAACCGATAAGACCAGGAGGGGCCGAAAGGGGATGGTGATGGCGAGCCGGCAGGAACCCGCCGAGCCCCGCCGCCGCTGAGCCCTCCGGGGCCGGCAGCCCCCGCCCCGGCCCCGCCGCCCCCCGCACATGGTGGAGCGCCCCGCGCCGCGCCCGCCGCTGCCCCGGACCGCGACGGCCGCGGCCTCCGCCCGCCTTTAGCGCCGAGATGTTGCTTCCAGCCGCCTGAAGGATATTTGTCCCTCTCCCCCCTCCCTGCCCCCGCGGGCTCCCGGCGACACAAGGTAAGAGCGGCGAGCGCGGCGGCGGCGCTGCCCCGGCCCCGCGGGACGGGGGCCGCCTTGCCCCGTCGGTGCCGCCGGCCCCGGGGCAGACCCTCCTCCGCCGCCCCGGGGAGGGGGGTGAGCCCCCCTCCCCTCCTCTCCTCACGGGTTGCTTTGAAAGGGAAAATTAAATGTCCCCCCATCCACAACCGAGGCGGAGGTGCGGGCGGCGGGGCAGCGTGCGCGCCCGCGGGGACCGAGCGCGCCTCGTTCGGGCGCGATGATTTGGGGGGCTGTGGGGTTAAGTGTTTCCCCTTTCTTTTGTGGGGGACGAGAGGAGACACCCGGGTGCGGCGGGGCGATGCTCGGCAGCCCCAGCGGGCTGCGCGCACCCAACCGCACGGACGGGCCCTATTCCCGGGCATCCCGATCATCCCGATCATCCCGATCCCGGTCCCGGGGGGGGGCGGCGGGGGGCCGTGACCCGGGCAGCCCCCGCTGTCCCTGCGCTGTCCCGGGCTGGCCCCGCGGGCACAGCGCGTTTAATGCCCGGCCGTGATCCCGGGGCAGGAACTTCCGTGGGCTCCCGGTGACCGAGCACCGGCAGCGCCCGCTCCGGCCGCGGGTCCAGGCGCTTCCCGGCGGGGCGCAGCCTCCCTCCCCTTTCGCTTTTCGTTTGGGGCGTTTTAAGGTTGTTTCCTTTTATTTTCCTAATAAAACGGGATGGCTGATGCCCGTGCCAAGCCAGAGAAGTTACAGTTTAACAGTGAGCTCCCTGGGATGCTCTGGGAAGTTCGGGATAGGCCGATGGTAAAGATTGAAAATAATGATATTCAGCCCGCTGTAACGATTAGTAATTTGTCATAATATTAGAATAGAACATCCTCTTTAGCTTGTCCACGAGCAGTCTCATTATATTTGTTTATTGTCTGCATAATTGGAACCATTTATCGGTGTGTATTGAATTCTGCCATGGTTTGCATGAGTGTTTACATTGTTTTTCATTTATTCTCTTTTATTTTGACATAAGGAGTTTTGTTATTTGCTTCAATTAGGGGGAGGGATTTAAGTGCTGCACAGGACTGTTGGGGAAGTGTAATATTAAAACAAGATAAATAACTCTGTGTACCAAATAAAGTTTGGTTCAGAGCAACAAATCTGAAAATTCTAAATGTGAGCTGCAAACAAAGTAAATTGTGAAAAAAATCAGAAACTTCAAATTAAGCCAACACAATCTATTTTAATAATTTTTGTTATATTCCTGGCAGGATCATGTTTAATTAAAATCATAATTTCAAATGTAGTCATTGATGAATGCATAGAAAATCAGATCCATTTTAAATTAACATAGTGTTTCATAGCCATAATTTAGACATCTCAATTACCTGTATATGTTTACCAAGATATTTTTCAGAACGTTTATTGTCCTTTTATAATTATGTATGTATTCTGACCATTCCTAAAAAAATAAATCTCACCAGGGAAGCATATTTCTGAATAAGCACACCTATATTATTATTATTATTATTGTTATTATCTGTTTGTTTATCCAGAAACCTGTGATTTATCTTTTGATTACTACACCCAGCCAGCAACAGAAAGATTTACTCTTTTATGTTTTTCCTTTTAGATCTTGGATGAGTTTTGCAATGTGAAGTTCTGCATAGATGCCAGTCAACCAGATGTAGGAAACTGGCTCAAATATATCAAGTTTGCTGGATGCTACAATCAGCACAACCTTGTTGCATGTCAAATAGGTGATCAGGTACGTGATGTTCACTTTCTGGACTTATTTTTTTAAGGAACTTTAAGGTGTCAATGCAAAAAAAAAAAAAATAGCAATTCACAACAGCTTTTGGCCTGTTTGCTGTTATGGCAAAAGATAAGGGACAGATGGGAAAGGCAGAATGGAATAATTTTGATTATGGGTGATATAAAATACGAATTTTCTATTTTTCACATGTTGTTAAATTCATAAATGATTTTTTTTTTATTGTCTTATACCTGATAAAAATTGTGACTGCTTTCTTAGGAGTAGAAAGCCAGCGTTTGCTGATTTTGAATTAGCAGCATTTTCTGGCTCCTGTTCCAGTCTTCTTGGATTGCTCCCTTAAACCGTTGAGTTGATGGGAAGCTGTAACATAAATGTAATGGCAAGAGCGGAGGGGAAGGCACGAAAGTGGTGATGTTACCAATGTAGTTGCATGTGTGGGGCTTTGGATTTGAATGCACACGTGCATGGATGTTATTGTGCCTCTCCATACACTTCGCTGGAACTCGTAATACTCATATGCTGAATCAGAGTTTTTGGTGATTTTCTTTGCATTTATTGCACTTAAATCCACTCTTTGCTGGGCTGAAACATAATTTATCCTTGTGTGTTGGAAAAAGGCTGATATAGGCAGAGGAAGGACACAGTAAAGCATTTTGTTTTCAATTATGCTGATGAGTTATTAGGTGTTTCTTAAATCAGGGTTCGCTTTTGTCTGGCGGATAATACATACCATTATGAAATATTTTAATGGGCAAAGTTAGGTTAAGGAAGCTTTGCTTCTTTGAAGTGAAATATCTAAAATAGCAAAGCAAACGATTGTGAATTCTTGTTTCCAATTTAAACTTTGCTACCTGCAACGTAGGATTCGATTCATTTAATCAGTGTTTCATTTCCCCCCCCCTTAATTAACTGCATCAGGTGAATGTTAAAGATTATCTTTAGCTGATTTAATTGCCCTGACAGTATTGAAAGAAGAATCACAACCAGACACAAAGCTTCAATTAGAAATCATTCTTTCTAATCAAATTCCTTACATATAGGAAATGAACGTGAGGCAGCCTGCTATTTCCAGCCCAGCGTTACATACTTCACTCATGCAAGATAGCTGATTAAAACAGGTTTAAGTAACTTTCTCAATCGTGAGAGAAGATCTTTTTAATTTTCAACTTTTCCAGTTCAGCCCTGAGCACATGTAGCACAGAACGAGCCAGCCGACCGAGAGATAATTTCCTTTTCATACAGCAGCTGGTTTAACTAAAGAAACCGTAAAGATTATTAGCAAACGCAAGATACGTTTTCCCAGCTGAAATACGTTTTATGCTGAAAAATGATAAATTCAGTGCGGATCGTTTATGGAAGAGTGATAGGAAAAGGAAACTATATAGATCGTTTTGAACAACAAATTCAAATATATTGCATTTAGTAGGAGCTGGCGTGGATAGGGATGATCAGAAGTGGGGTCACGTGCATTGGTCAAAGCAACTCGCTGTCTTTGGGTTGGAATTGGGGATCTGCAACTACAAATGCACATGAGGCTGAGACATCAGCATCTCCCTCTGCAACACAGACACGCACCCGTGCCTTGACGTTTTTGGAAGGAAAGCCATGGCGCTTTTAACTTTCTCTTTTTTTCAGTGTTTACATTTCTGACATTTGGTAATGGTGGCTGTACTGCTGCCAATAATTTCTTTCATTCACTGGAGGCTTGTTATTTATTTTGCACAGTATCGTGCTGTTCATAATTCCATATTTTTATAGCTTTTTGTTGCTGAGATTTGCAAATTAGGGTTTGGTTGTCTTTCAAGTAGCATGTTGCGAGCTGGGTACTGTCAGCAAGGGATTGCTGTCCATTTGGCCCTCTGGAAACGCTGCACATTTACCCACAGAATCGTCCGCGTACTCCCAGCGTTTTATGACCAGAGCCTAAAAAGTTAATGCTAAAAATGTGCTCTCGAATCCTAAAGCGAAAACCCCTTTCCAGCAGCTCCTCCTTCTGCTTTCTTCTGGCACAAACTCACCAGAGGTAATATAAAATATAATAGGAAGGCAAACTGGGAAAGGGACGTTACATGACCAAACGTGTGTGTGTGTGTACGAGGAGTGACAAATGCAAGTCAGGGCTGAGCGTGCATATACAGACTGAGTGGGGCTGCCAGGGGGTCACTGGGCCTCGGTAGCTCCTGGAAAGAAGGGGGAAAAAAAAAAAGAAAAAGATGGGGAGAAAAAAGGGAAAATAAAAATAAGCTGGATCTGAGGATGTGTATCAGTGGTTGTAGCTAGAGCTGGAGGGAAGAGGTGATGCAGCCCAGCTGGGACAAGAGACCCCAGTTCAGCTGGAACCACAACCAGTGCTGGGTGCAGGGGTGGGGGGACACCCCTGTGAGGGGACACCCCAGCTCTGCCTTCTTCCCCAAGGAATACAAAGCACCTCAGCAGCCCCAGGCGCCCGGGGAGCATCCCCGCTGCGGGGACGCTGCTCGCTCCCCAGGCACAGACACTCGATCAGCAGTAATTGTTCACCTCTAATTGCTTCAACTCATCTGTAAAATTCACAAGCAAACATTGGGCTCTACCTGAGAAAGTAAAAGATCCTGCCAGCGCTCCCAGGCTCATGCTACCCACAAGTTTATACTACTAAATTCAAGCTTGACTGACAGACAGGTATGATTCCCAGACTGCTTGAGGCAGGATTTAGATGAACTCAGGGCGATGTGTAATGTAGTCACTCTGCTGCGTTCTACCTGCTGTATTTAACAAAAAGAGTGAAAGAAAAACATTTTTTGTCATTTTCTCTATTAGAGTTTTTTCAGAGACATACCACCCCACCCCCTGACTCACGGCTGAGGTTAGGTTTCATCACTTAGGATCAACTTTACAAAAGGCCTGGGCTCTTTCTTATGAGTGTATAAATGAGCTTTGCTGAGATGAACAGCTCGATAATGGTGGGATGCAGTCAAAACATGCACGCTGGATGCAACTCATGTTTCATTTGATTGCAGATGGAGTAGAGTTTAAAAGCTGCTTTTTTTTTTTTTTTGTGGTTGTTGCTGGTTTGTTTTTTTTTTATTTCAAATGAGATTGATCTAGGATTTCTTTTTTCTGTCTTCCTATTATCTCCTGTCATACTCAATCTAACCTGAACGTATGTAATTCAAGATGGATATGAATAATCAAATTCCACAAATAGGTCACAGTTTTTTGCCTTTCCCCAAAGAGACTACAGCGTGTGCAGGGCTGCAGAGAGTCTTGTCCCTGTTCTTGCCCTGGAATGCATTTTTTCAGCTCAGAGTCAGTGAGGATTCAAGAGCAGTTTCTGCTAACTTGGATGACTCCCCTCTGTTATCATTAAATATCTATTAGTTCAACTTTTTAATGACTTCAGAATGATTAGCCCTGTTAGGCTTTCTGGCGGCGCTGCCAGCCCAGCTAAAGCATTATTTTTAAAGATGTATGTTAATGAAAGTGCAGTTGCAAATCCAGCAGTGACTATGGCAGGGGCTGTCACACATTCCAGGCTGGAATCACGGTCACCTTCAAACTCTAAAAAATAATTTATTTTTTAACGTTTTTTTGCTTTTAAGAGACGTTGTTGGTGTTGAGGTTAAAACACCTGAATATTGTTTTTATCTTGCTCATTGCTCGCGGCGTTCTGACAGCGATACAGCCACATACTGCTGTGAAAGTGCCCCGAGCTTCCAGGTCTCTTCCCCCCCTAACAAAGCAGCTCCTGAAGACTCCCTTTGGTTTATCCATGGAAAACTCAGAGCGGCTCAGATCACTTTACTGAGGTTTTAGCTTGCTGTGCGTGCTGAAATAGGTTTTTGGTGGGGATTTTTTTGTGCGTGTGCTTTGTTTTCTTTCCTTATACTCAAGTATGTGCCGCTGCAGAGGGAGAAAAACCAGTAGTATCACACCCTTAACAACGTGCCCGATGTCAGTGATATAAACTTACAGGAGCGAACCTACTGCTGTAGGTTCCACCAGATCTGATCCCATCTTACACGTTTTACAAACTTTTTTAATCTGCAGGCACAGCCTCATGTTTCAGGTTTTACGGCCGCGGCCCCCCCCCCTCCGTGGCGGGCAGAGGCTCCTTGCAACAGCCACCTGCAAAAGTTGTGTATTTAAGGAATAGTTTTGAGGCTTTGTTGTCAGAGAGTGAAATTAAGGTTTTGGCTGTTCTGGGTCAGGAGGGCACACACACGCTGAGCTCATATGGGGCCCTATTCTGCCACGATTCTTCCTATGACTTATTAGTTATTAAGCAAATAAAGCTTAATCCAGCTCCCACTGAAAATCTGTCTCCAGTGGAGCAGGGATGTGTTAGCTTGGGGCTGATGGAATGAGGAGCTGTTTGGTGTTTTTCCACTTGCTGCAGTTAAAGCTGAGGCTGTGGGTGAAATTCCTGCCTGGGCTTTACGACTGCCTCTGTTATCTGGAATTTGATGCACTGGTGGTGTTACCACTCTCGGCGTTGGACTGTCCTGGTGTGACCTGAAATAAGCTGTGTGGAACCAAACCCAGCAACTAGTTGTTGCCATTTCTGCCAAGTGATAAGTTTTTTATTGATGATTCGCGTTTAATACAAGGGGTAAGGCATGCTGTCTCTAAAGAAAAATGGCTTTTTTTGTGATGAGAGCTTTCAAACTCATCTGCTTGCCAGAGTGTAGAGGATTATGGAGAGCCAGAGAGCCAGGACACAGCTGCACCTCGCTTGACATTCGTGTGGTTCATTAATGAGGGTTTGTGACTGCTGGAGGACAACTGAGTGGTGAGGTCAGCTCAGGAGAACAAGTGGGCACACAGGAGTTGGGTTCTGGGGTCAGTGGTTAGTGCCCCCCAAGGGGGAGGTTCTGCAGGACTAGAGCAGCGTGGCTGGATGTGGCAGCCTCTCACCTGGAACCGGGTCTTTCACAGAAGCTAAAATGCGTCTATGAAGGAAGAAGACCTGAAATGGCTCTGGGGAGGTGGCCTGCAGCCCCCAAGAGGCTGAAGAGGGTGTCCTGCAGGGAGGCACCCTGCAGTTCCCTCCTTGCTCTGAGGGAGCAGGAGGCACCTTTTGCCTTGGAAGGTGGAAAAATGGGGATTCCTGGAACATCCTTCCCCCAGACAATTTTGGGGCATTTTGGAAACAAAGAAGGAAAGGATTCTTAGTCGTGGTGCTGAGGCACTGTGGTGCTCCCCCACCACCTCTTCAGGGTGAAGGGAGGGTACTCTCTCCCCACTGAACTCCCACCCGTGCCTCCGCAAGCACTTGCTGAGTTTTTGCCTGTGGATTTTTGCTGAAGTTTTCTTTGGGCCCAGGACAGCTTTCAGGCAGGACTCCTCTACATTAGCCCTTGAAAAAACTCGGGTTTGCTTCAATTTATCATTTGCCTGAGTACGGCAAGAAGAACCTGGCTCGGGTTTCATCACACAGCTCTCCAGCTGCACAAGTTGTTCATCACAGGAGCTAAAGCTGAAGCTTCACCATTTGGACCTTTTTCTTTCTTGTTTTTTTTTTTTTTTTTTTTTTTTTTTTTTTTTTTTTTTTTTTTTTTTTTTCCTTTCAAACTCTTAATTAGGGCTTGTTGTGAAGTTATATATCTGTTCGTCCTTCTCCTTTTCCTGGTGGCCATAATTCCTGGTTTTGATGGGGCTCCTTGAACATAACGCTTATTATTAGTTTTGGACATTTAATTTGTTTTGCTTTTCAGGCAGGTTCCACTCTTGCTCC